TTATCTTGCTGTATGTATGTCGTTTTCTTTACGTTTTCTGACTAAAAGCAACCAAAAAGCCATTTTAAAGTGGTTAAGCAAATAATATAATAATAATAATCGGCAGGGATCCCAGACCAATACAATTAGTGTGCCTCCTCTATTTTAAAACCCATGAACCGCCACTGGTTGCCACAGTTCTTCTGAATTTAGTCTGTCTCAGTTTTTTCTGTTTTTCATGTCACACCAGACGGACTGGATGATGGTGAGATCAGATCTCTGTGTGGAGCACTGGCTGTTGTCAGATTCCTTGTGCATACAGAAATCTCACTGGATTATTATAATTAATGACAAAAGGAATGTTTAGAAATGTAAACTGATATTTCCTACTGACACACTACAGCAAAAGATGAAAATAACTGCTTAAAACCTTTTTTTTTTTTTTTGTCGGTGAAAGACTTTTGCACATCACACTTCCATTTTTGTTTATACATTTACAAAACTGTCAATTGTCCAATGGTTGTGAAACTAGTTGTGAAACACTAAAACTAAAACACACACTGCAGGCACTTGTTGGATAAAAATAAGGCTGAAATCAATAATTATTTTACCCTAGTAGTGGTTTAGCCAGCCAGATAACCTGAAAAGACAGGCCTCCTGGTTTGGCTACTAAACAATTAAGTGACACACTTAACCTCTTCTAGCTACTGTACATCCAAATGCATAGAAAAGTATTGCTACAATACATGATGCATTAGAGTATAGTTTTACCATCTAAGGAGTCTATAAACAGCTATAACTTTCCCTTTAAGAGGCTGGTAAGCGCTGAGGGAGAGTGGGAGCACTGATGAGATGAATATTGACAGGCTTTAAACTGCTGGAGCATACAGTGATTGAGGACACGGCCAATGTACATGCAGATGAATACAAATGGGATTTCACTCATGGAGGAACAACTACACAGATTACAGTTACAGAGTTTAATATGCTGCAGCTTGCGGTAAGCTGCCCTTTTGCATCTACAAATGTCTTGATGTAATCAGGTATAAAGGGTGTTATTTTAAAAGGACCTGTCAAAAATAATTGTAACACTAAGACATTGATAATAAAGTGGATCTTATCAAGTACGTAGATGAAGTAGGACATACTCACCTCAGTCTTGCAGCATTGGATGTTTCTTCCACTAGTCTCTCTACAGCAAGGGATCTGTGAGTGATATAAAAAAACTCTGTTAACCTAGTATGAGTAAATGTCAACACAGAGTATACGAGCCTCCAAAACCTGTTATTCAAAATAAATATTGTGTACCCATCCTGAAACATGAGCTTTACTTCCTCAGTAAAGTACATACCTGTTAGCACTGCTGGGAAGACATACAAATAATCTGAAAGTATTGGCAAATAAATCATATGTTACAATATTATAAAGGTGATCTACAGGTGATTTTGCATTTATTTGGCGGATCTTTTTTGTTGTTGTCTTTTTTCCCATCACATATGTTTGTAATAATTTGAAAGCTTAAAATGTAAAAATTAATTCTGTGAAAAACATTTTGAAATCGGACATTGCTTTACCATGGAAATGGTACTTTAAAATCTTTTAGCGGTCTCCTCCCCCTTAGTGGGCAGTGTCAAGTGTTATATTACAAAATGTATTACGGTATTTTACAATCTAAACCTTTTAATTTTATAGCAATTTTGGATTAAAAACTATTTTGTAAATATTTAAAAATTAGTACAGTACATTTTCTTTACAGTACATTTAAACTTTTATGTTTTTAAATTAAATTAAATTAAACATTTAACTTTTTTATACTTTAATTTTTTGAAATGTTTTCACTTCTGCAATAATAATTATAACAATTAAAGTTTGGATAGTGCACTTTCACATCTATGTTGAAAACTTGGGGGTGACAGTTAAAGGGTTCAAATGGAAAAAGTGAAAAAAATGTACCGCCTTGTTTCTGCTGTTGATTACATCTAGAAATAGCACAAATAGCACATCTAGAAATTATTCAGTTTTGTGAATAAGACAATATCTAGTGACTCATTCTGTTAAAACAGCTAAAGTTAAGTCTCTTAGATTATGGTCTTTCCTGTGACAGACAGGTTTGATTCAATTATGTTCAGATTCAGAGAAAATTTTGTAAGAAAATGGATTAAATCAATTGTGATATCCAAATTCAACCCAAACACTCTGAAGCCATCTTCCTGTTTCAGTGTTGACACTGTACAGTATAATAAATCTACGGGAGGTTTTTTTTTTTTTTTTTTTTTACTGTGCTATTTTACTGTTCAAAAATTTGTGGTCAGTAATATTTTTTTATTTAAGGAATTAATATGTTTATTCAGCAAGGGTGCTGAAAAAAGTAAATTAATCAAAATGACAGTAAAGACATTTATAATGTTACAAAAAAAACTATATTCAAATAAATGCTGGTCTTTTGTACTTTCGAATAAATAAAAAACCCTGAAAAAGTAGTACAGTTACGTATTACAGTTTCCACAAAAATATTAAACTGTGATCAGCATATTAGAATGATTTCTGAAGGATCATGTGACACTGAAGTAATGGCTGCTGAAAAATTACATTTTAAAATATATTCCAATAGAAGACACTTACCTGAAATTATAATAGTATTTCACAATATTATTGTTTTTACTGTATTTTACAAATAAATGCAGCCTTGGTGAGCATGAGACATTTCAAAAACATAAAAAAAAACAAAAAAACTTTTTGGTTCAAAAATATCAGTGTCACTATACTGTTCAGTGAATTTTCTAGGTGTTTCTGGAGAGTGGGAGAGTGATACAGCACACAAAACATAAGTCAATGCTCATTCTAACCAAGTTTTCCAGATTACAATTATTACATGCAGAACTCGAGACATTTCTAAGCTTAGTGAACAGAAGACAGCAGCAGCAGACAAGCTCAAGTGATTTCCCTCTGTAAGAGAAGAATTACCGCCCTCTTTTCCAGCAGGAATCCAGACTGCCCTCTTTTCAGAAGTATGATGTGGACAAAAAGGCCACTTATGAAAAAGTCAAGCACTCCACATGCAAGAAAAGATGTTTGAGTCTTTGGACTGCGGAGAGCTCTGACAAGCCCGTTATGTCGGCTAGGCCTGGATTTCAGAGCATGTCACGGCCCTTGGGTCTGGTTTGCTGTCTTAAAGGGGTCATATGATGCTTTTTTAAAGATCATTATTTTGTGTATTTGGTGTAACAGAATATGTTGACATGCTTTAATGTTCAAAAAACATCTCTCTCTCTCTCTCTCTCTTTCTCTTTCTCTCTCTCTCGCTCTCTCACGCTCTCTCTCTCTTTCTCTCTCTCGCACTCTCTCTCTCTCTCTCTCTCGCTCACTCGCTCGCGCGCACACACACACACACACACACACACGATGCGCAAAACTCCGCATTTGAACAGTCAATAGCAAATACTTAAACTAATAA